AGTTAGATTTCAAGCAGATTCTATTTAATATGGCAGAATATGATATTGCGCCCCTAAAAACCCACTTTAGCTTCGCTTATTTGCTTTTTTTAATCAGTAATCAATATGCAAAGTTTACTGACCGTTTTCCCATTCTTCTCCAATGCAATCGATTTCACAGACCATAAATAAGCATAAATAATCACGTAATTTATAATTTAAACTCACGCAGCACAAGACGGTGCAGCATTTTCCGCCGCTGCCGCCGTCGCCAAAGGAGCAACTGCAGCATCCACTGCAACCACAACTACAGGAACACCACCTCCTTCTTCATCACCAGCAGCAGCAGCAGCAGCAGCAACCACTGCAATTTGAGATACTATCATCCCAGCCGCAGCGCCAGCGAGCCAAACAATCAAAAATCAATTTAACGCCATTTACAGCGCAGAACACATTGCCGGGACAGTTTATACCCATTATTTATACGCCAGTGAGCAGTGAACCGGGCTCCTCCAGTGCAATCAATTACAACAACATCCAAAGCAACCTGAAGCAGCCAGAGATTGTCTACAAAAATTCCCATCAAACACAAATTGTTACGGATTATGCAGGCGCCGCAGTTGTTGCTTCTGCCGAACAGCCTTCATCATTGTCGTCATCCGACGACGAGTTGAAAGATGAGGCAAAGGGAGAGGAGCAGAAGCAGCAGCAGCAGCATCGGCCGGAGGATCATGGATCCCAAGAGGAGGCGGTGGCGGAGCAGCAACACCAGCAAGTGCAAAACAATCCAAGGTAAGATTTCTTGTCACATGTGAGTTGTATACACGAAGAAAACCTCTGGTGCGAAAGCTCAAATGTAAGTCAAGCTCTGATCTCATGAAATACCTACATCACTCGCTTGATTAGGCAGTTCCCACAGCCACGCCCACTTATATATCGTGAGGTGTTCCGCTAAAAGTTGAAATATTGCATGCAGAACACAAATTAAAAGTGTGGCCGCTGCCGCCGAAGCTCCCAAACCAGATTCATTTCATCTGTATTTCGGCAACAAGTTCGCATGAGCCACCGAAACAACAATCTCACCATACACTTAATAACATTGAATCATCATTATCATTATTTAAAATCCAACCTTCTTAATAAATCTGATAGAAAATCATTATATTAAGGAATGGCCATGCCAAGTTTCTGGCAACAATAAGCCATATACAAAATAGCTATACATTTTCTACTTCAATTAGACTCTCAAACGTTTAAGTAGGCAAAACGCACAGTTAACTGAAACAGAAACTTCAACATGTTTCAGTTTAAGCCAAAGCCAAGAAACAGAGTCTGGGATTAAGTAAGATACGGATACGGATAATGTTGCATGCAATGCCCTCGGGCAGAAAAATCAATTGCATTAAATGCACCGGACCCAATCCATTCCAATCTCCGACTCCGTCCGCTCGTCTCCAACTCTGAATCCGTCCCCAGCACTTCGTCACCATCTGTGCAACTGCAGCGGTGGTGACGTAAGATCCATGACGACAACGAATGCAACTCCAATTGCCGTTCGATGTTCAGCAGGAGGCACTGCCGGTGGGCAAAAGTGGGCTGAGACTCGACCTGGCCAGTGTCTCATGTATGCTCTTGTAGTAATTGTCAAATGGCAAATTCATGTCATAAATAGCCAGCGGGCTCAGGTCAAAAATCTGTCATACAATCGTTATTTGGAGATGGGATGGGAACTGGGAAAACACGCCAATCAGCTGAGATTTTTACAAATTTAAATTATTTTATTAATTATTCGTTAAATCGGGTTTACATCTTTAAAGAAACTTAAACCACAAATTTATTCAGGCTTAGTTAAGGATAATAAATGAAATAATGAAGAGATACCATTTGTTATAACTATAAATAAGGGCTGAAACTCCACTTATAGTCCTTATAATTCCCTTATAATCCTTAGTTTCCAAAATGGAAAACCAAACTAAAATCAAAGCTTACGAAACCATAACCGCATTGCATGATAACCCACCCACAGCATTGGCTACGCTTCCGTCTCGGTTCCCGATTCGAGCGCAGTTACCGCGACCACATCCTCCAAAAACGCATTGATAATTCATCAAAAGTCGCCGACATTCGGGCATGTAAGTAAATTCGAAAGTTACTTCAACATGGCCCCGCCCACGACCAGCGTTGGCTATCATCCTCATCAGCAGCATCCGCACATGACGCCGCAGGAGAAATATGTGCTTTACTTACAACAGCGCATGAAGCACCAGAAACAGCAGCAGCAGCAGCAGCAGAACTACGACATTCCACATCCGGTGGTGCCAGCACAAAGCAATACACTGGCCGGCAGCCACCATCCACAACAACACACCCATATGCATCCCCATCAGCCGACACGCCAGCAATCACACCATCACCCCCAGACTAAAACCCTTCATCCGAATAAGTACGATGCCCTGTACGTAGGACCGGATGCGACTGCTGGCCAACAGGTGCTGCACATCCCGCTGCGTGCCCTGATGGCCCACGTGCAAGAGCAGTCGCTATCCCAGTCCCAGTTGCAAGCGGAGTCGCAGGCACAGTCGCCGCGACACGAGTTCGCCAAGGATGAGCCGCTCGGGTAAGTCGTTAATTTGGATAGAGAAGCAAGGCTATTGTTTTAAAGTTACTTAGTTAAGGGTTGATATTTAAATCAGTAACCAGCTTTCAATTAGATATCTTTGACGTATTGAGTGTCCGAGTGAGAAGAGTAAGGAAAATTGTAAGTTGTAAGGACAAAGGTTTAATTTAAAATTTGTATAATTGATTATCACATTTGAAATGATGCTCAGCTTTCTATAAGAACGAAATTTTTCAATCAAAACTCATATAATACATTCCATTGCTTGGCAGAAGTGCCTCTAGGAAACTACCCTAAAATTTGATAATTTCTTTAGTTCCCCAGCACCGCCGCAGTTTATTGATTATCTGATAGATGGACCAAGACAATCGCTGGATGAGGAGCAGCAGCGGCAGCAGCACTCGCAGCATGAACGTCCTTCGGCACATCAACCGCCGCAGCATGCTTACATCCTGGTGACCACAACAGCCCCACATATCGAGCACCAGCCGGCGCCACAACTACATCCAGAAATTTCCACACCCCGTCCGCCGATTCTCTATAACCATCAGCCCACGCTTCGATTGCAGCCCGTGCATAATTACAAGGCCACCAGGCGTCCCATTTACGTGACCACGCCCTCGCCAGCAGGTCCTTCCACTCCGAGTCACACGGTAGAGATTACGCCGAAATATGTGTACATTTCCGGAAAACCCCCGAGTGCCCAAGGCCAAGAGTTACCGGTTAGGGAACCATCTACGGTAACGCCTGTTAAACTAAAACCAGTTTTCAAATACGTCCATGAGCGCCCTCCATTAAAGCCAGCATATACCCCAGAAGATGAGGATCAGCTACCTGATATACGCACCTCATCGCTGGCCGAAATCCTTCATAAGCTTCAGGCCAGCAATCATCTACCACAAACCTTAACACCCGACAATATCGACAACTCCATCAAAACACTGATTCGCATACTGCAAAACCTAAAGCAAACCCAAACCATTGTGGCAAATCCTCCGCAGCATCACGAGGAGCACAAGCCCAGTTCCCAAGATTACGATTACAATGAAGAGGAACACCACTCTCAATCCACAGGATCGGAGGAGTCTAATGAGGCGGTTGCTAAGCCCAAGGGACCAAGTGGGTAGCTTTGAGATAACTTTTCTTTCTTATTTAATTTTAATAACTTCACTAGATAAACATCCCGGACCAAGTACAGGAAGACCTGGCATTGATTATCCCAACTACGCGGAGATTCCTCAGACCAGTTTCGAGTGCACCAAGCAACGTTACAAGGGATTCTTCGGTGATCCGGAGACAAATTGCCAAGTTTGGCATTATTGCGATCTCAATGGAGGAAAGGCATCGTTTCTGTGTCCTAATGGCACCATATTTAGTCAGGTTAGATATGAACTTTAGAGAAGAATTCAAAGACTTTAAAGATACATATATTTTACAGATTGCTTTGACCTGCGACTGGTGGTTCAATGTGAAATGCTCAACGACTGCGCAACTTTATGTCCTAAACGAGCGACTATACAAGTACATTCTGCCTTTTAATCCCAAGTTTCCCGAGGACTACAATGGGCCCATTGTGGATAAGTAAGATATTAAAATAGCTCAAATTGTAATCATTAAATAATCTGCGATCTATTAAAGGTACCTGGCCATGAAGTTCCAGGAAATGGAGGAGAAGATGCGCCAGGAGAAACAACGCAAGGCTACACAGCAGGCGGAGAAACCCATTGATGCTACATCGACACCTTCGCTGCCCAAAAATCACAAGCCCGAACCAAAGCATGGTAGTGGAATTAATGCCCAGGTTTATGAGCAAAGCTCCGAGAGAAATTTGCTAATCGATGATGAAATAGACGACATATCAGAGCGAGGAACCTACGACACATACGAACAATCAGCACCTACAACAATAATGGCACCCACGAGCACGCAGGACACCCAATCCTATGTCCTCAAACCTATCGTAGTGTCCTCCACTCCACAACCACAGCCAGAGGTTGACTTCGAAGTGGAACCAACCGCTCCGGAAAGCAGTGAAGAGGAGGATAAGCTGCAGAGTTTGAGGGACACTAAGGACGCTGAGAAAACAGGGCGGGAAACCACCAAAGTAAGCGTAGAAAAGCTGGAGGTGATTGAGATTAAAACGGATGGAAATACTGGACAACTGATGCCCATCAAGGATACTAGCAAATGAGCATTCTTTGGAAAGGATGAAGAGCTTGCCATATTTGTAATGAGAAATTCGTCTGCGAGTTGGTTGTATAATCCCCTAAATTATTCTTAGCGCGCAAGTACTGTAAATAGCTAGCTGTAAATGCAACTGTATATATAGTATACAGTGTATACATACCTATAGCTATAGTTAAATAAAATCTGACTAGTATGTAAAATATATAATAGCACTTACCTTCTGGCCGTTTTGGATGTTGAGAAGAGCGGAGTTCAATGCATTCAAAGACGCCGGAATTTCGAAGGCATAGCGTTGATTCTAAGGAAAACAAAATTATTGTTAATAGGGATTGAAATCGAAAAATTTTGTTCTATGGAAAAATAGATTTTCTTACAGCTTTAAGTAATAAAAAAACAGAAGTAGAATTATCAGTCAGTCTGCTTTCGAAATTGATTACTAGGAATATTTTACAAAAAAAAAATGAATTCATCTGAGTTTAAACAAGTTTAATATATGGACTTCGATCTTCCTTACTAATAAACCAAAAAATATATTTAGGGATGAGGCAATAGATCAATTAATCTATGAAAAATATAAAATCGATTAGTGAGCAACACATAAAGATATTTAAAGAATTTTACTAACAATATCCGCTAGTGGTCGAGTGCGGTGGCTGCGATGATAGATGAAACAACAGGCAGCGCAGTAGGTGCGATTGCATTGCTAGCAGTATACCTTTTTTGACAATCTGTGTAGCGAACAATCGCTCAAAGGCAGTGTGAAGAAGTGGCTGCCCACGCGTAATCCCTTGCTGGTGCGCGTTTGCGTTTCCATGGTGGTCTTCTGGAAGACGTGAGCCTTCAAGACACGACTGTGATTATGCACCGCATCGAAGCAACGGCGGCAATAGAAGGCGTTGCACTGCCTGCACTCCCCGGCGAAAACTGCATTGCAACATTCGCTGCATTTGGTGGACTGGACAATCACTTCGCTGGTCGAATTCAGAGACAGGGATTTGTTCGATGACTCCGTGGCAAAGCGGCGAAAATAACTGAGGCTGCTGGTTTCCCCCAAAACGTGATAGTTGAGTTCGTAGAAGTCGCACACATTGCCGGCAAATTTACTAGCCGGATCCTTGGCCTTGATTATCGGAGAAGCAGGACTTTGGCACACGGCACACTTCAGATTCTGGCGATTTGTCCATAAGCAGTTCTCACAGAGATTATGGCCACATGGTAGCACAAAGGGGCGATGGCTCTCTGATGAAAAAGAAGAAATAATTAGTCAATGGTTATGCCTGCATCTCTTCTGTGTTACACGCTTAAAAACTGAATGTGATTAAAACGAACTAAAAATTAAGTTTTATAAGGGTTCCAATCTAAAAAAGTAATCGTTAATAAAGAGCAACTTTTATCAATTCGAAAAGATTTTTGAAACATTAAACATACAAAAAATGTATTTAATCCTACATTTTCAGTGTAAATACATGTAAATGTGCATCGTCATGCATCGGCAGTTGATGTTTAGAAAAAAATATCAAAGAGAACTGAAAAATTCATAAAGTAATGTGAGATCTCACATAACGGAATAGAGATGCAAACTTATACACTTCTTCTCTTTTATGTCTAGACTATAAGCTGTTCAAACCATTTATGAAAATATTTGTCTACACAAATTGTGAAATATTAAAATACTGACAAGCATTACATAGTTATAGTTTAAAAGAATCTTAATTCGCAGCGAAAATTAGAAAATAATTTTTTTTATTTCGTAGCTAAACTTTTTTTCTGGTCAGTTTCTGTCACGCTTCCAATCTGGCAACACTGTTTACCTTACCTTTTACACACACACTTGCAGTGGAAAAAATCCTGTCCAAGAAGTCTCAAAATGTTTATAAATTAAACGTTAAGAGGCCCCTGACTAACAATTAAATGAAAACACTTACCGCCTCCTTGATGCTTTTTGTATGAGTCGGTATAAGATTTAGTACATTTTGGGCAGCGCAAAAGACTTTGCAAATTCGAAGCCACAAATTTGCGATCAAAATGCTTAACACCGCTGTCGTCGGCAATCATTTTGTTCGAAAGCCAACACAAACCGAGATCAACACTATATTTTTATTGGTTTTATTATTAAATTTTAAGATATTGAGCAGATATAAATGTTTCAAACGCGAAACTTAAAACCCAAGCGCGCCAGCGATTGACATGAGAGAAAGATAGAGATGGAACCTCCTCGATGTCACTATCGATTAACAAAATGTGGATACTATCGAGCTCGATCCGATATTTCCAAGGACAAATCTTGTGGGAACAGTGGGAACAGATAAGAATCTTGAAGGATCTGAAATAAGATTTTAATAACATTTGTTGTTTTTTGTTATTTTATTATTTTGTTGTTATTTTCTTACCCAATTTAACGATAGTCTAAAGTATTTTCCTAGTATTCAAATTTTTTTGGCTCCATTTCGAAAAGTTCTTTTCGACAGTTTTTTAAAACCAGCTGCGCTTAGTAAATACTTATGGGTGCGCATACTTACTTTCAGTAAATACCTAGATTACCTTTAACCCAATAAAAGTATTTAACTTCCAAAACGCATTTATTCCATCACATACTACAAATTTTACCCAATGCCGTCTTACAAAACTGTTTTTTTTTTTTACCATGGCTTCAATTAAAACGACGAATTATCCAAACATGGAATTCAGAATGGTGTTTTCGCGCTCCCTTCGGTTAGCTTCGTCTTGTTTAAACCTTCGCAGCTCTTCGTACACCGGATCATCTGTTTCTAATTCAAAGCGACAAAGGGGACAGGAATTGGCCTGCGAATTAAAAAATAAATATCAAGGTTTAAAAGCACTGCCAAATCTAGTAGGTTTGATCAAAAAATACTGTATTTATAATACAATAAAATTTTTTTTTAAATAAGATAATTTTTTATTTTTCCTATTTGATTTCTGAGAATCCTTTGACTTACCTTCTTGAGCCAGAGCAGGATGCACTCCTCGTGGAACTCGTGTTTGCAGGGCAGAATCTTGTATTTTTCGCCGGCTTGAGCTGGCTCCTTGCAAACGGAGCACTCCAACTCACCGCCTACTTCCGATTCGAGGACTTCGTGGACCGGAAGCTCTGCAATCGCTCGCTTGGAGGCCTCCGGCACCTCGATTTCCATATCGATGCCGTTCATTATTGCCAACACCTGGAGGCGTCGGAAATTCCTGTCAAAATCATTCGCTCCTTCCGGTCCAGTGGGTTCGTGGCCCAGTTCCTCGAAATAGTCCGACATGGCTGCAATTTTCGTAGCACAGAATAGTAGTTGATAGCTTGAATGTAATGGCCCCAGATTCTAGATCTTATTAACTATTCCTCGCTTCCTTATGTTTCTAACGATCAAAACCAAATCGCTAGTACTTACACTCACTTTCCCAAAAGATATTGAGTAGATCTTAGAACCACACCCGGATTATTAGGAGCCAAATGTGATTTTATTTCAAATTCGATTTCTCGTATACAATTGATAACAGTCAATCTGAGCTAAGACTCCAATCGATTAAGTTTATTAAACCAACATTATGGCTAAATATCTAAGATGTCTTTGCATTTAAAACGCTAGCAAGTAATGTGTTTGTTCTTTTATTTAGGACTAAAATTACTTCTTTTAGTAGCAGCAATGCATATTAAAAGGTCTAAAATTACAGGCATTCTCTGGCTTCATTTTTTAAGTGAGCTTAATCGATGATTTCACCTAGTCGCTTGTTTACTTTACTAATTTTTAAAGAATGCTGTACCAATTTCAAGCGAAAAATGTATTTTTTGATCTTCATAAAGATGAAAATTTGTAAAATAGTCGTTATATTTTTATTACTTAAAAATTTGAATTATTAATCGGAAACGTCAAAAATATGAAAGAATATTTGACTATGTTTTGAATGATTTAACGTAATATAGAATGTAAACCCAAATTTATGGGAATGCGTTTTAAAAACAATACAATAGAAAAACTTATAAAATAGGTCGACACTTTTAAAATAATTAAATGTTTTCCCCAATTCTAATTCCAAAATCACACGATGTCTAAATCCCAATACCAACTTACAGAATCGCCAATAACAACACAAACATGAATTCCTTTTTCGTTTCTTTTTTTTTGTGATTTTTTTTACTTTATGATTTTTAATATTATTCATTGTTTAAAAGTAATTGCTTTACGATTTTAATTCATTGTAGTTACAAAATTTTGAATTTTAATTTCTACTCTCCTATTTTTTCTCATTATCTTCCTCTGGCCTTACTTAAAGTTTACATCTTTTTGCGATCTTATCAAAAACTCATACAGTAGATATTCAGAGTAGAGTGGTAAATTATAAGGTAAAATATAAAATAAGAGTAAAACAAAAACAAAACTTAGGCGCTAGGCCTTACAAATTATTTGTTTAAATTGCTAGAGAATAAATTAGAGGCGCCTAGCGGAGTAGCGATTGGTAAATGATATATAGAGGCAGGACTACATCAGGATCTACTGATTTCAGTGGCCTAATTTAAAACAAGAACTACATATATTTATATATGTGTGTGGTGTATATACAGCTACTTAAATACGAACGAAACGAAAACGAATAAGTACACAATTCTTCAATTACTTTAGCTACTTTAGCGGGCGAGGAAAAAAAGGGGGCGGTTAAGGAACAGGTGGTGGGGCACATGGAGTAATTACAATGCGCATAGAATTTATATAATAGGTAAGGCATATATAAAAACAAAAGCGGCAGGTCGATTTCTCAGGTTGAATAAATAAATACATTTGAAAACCCAACTTTAAACAGATTTTAAAAATGTTTAAGTTCTTCAGAAACAAAGTTTATACTGAAGTTTTTTAAAATAAAACCGCTTAGAATCAAACAAATATAATTTTTCACACCTAATCTTTGCCAACCAAAATCGACCCCTCCTATTAAACATATATATGTGTGTATAGATAGTTTATCTATATAGTAAACGATCGGCTCGCGTTAAGATCTATCACTAGCATATACAGTTAGTTCTAGTCTAGTGCTAAAAGCAGCAAACGGCAATGGCTCTCCAGTTGGGGAATACAAATGCCGAACCCTCTGGCCTTACGTATCATCAGACTGGCTTGGTTTTTATAAGGGATGGTGCTATGTGGTGGTGTTTGGGATGCTCTTGTGATGGGTTGAGTTGGCTGTGATCCATGCTCCATGGCTGATCACTAGTCCGTGATGGAGATCTGCGCATAGCCCACCAGCGAACGTTCGTCGGGCACTTCGCCTGGCTGCACGCCGGAACTCAATTGGAAAGTAATCGTTTTCATCGTGGCACTGGCAGCTATCAGTTTGTCCAGATGCTGGGCCATCGGCTGGGTGTCCAGGGCATCAACGAGACCGGCATCCACTAGTTCCGTAGCTATACCCTCGGCTGTGTCCTTTCCCACCACGAACTCGAAGCGAATGTCGTGGAGTTCGCGTCGCAAGTTGCGCATGCGCAGAACTAGATTGACGGGAGGCGCCTCGCCGGCGGATTCGCTGGGTAGTTGTAGTTGAGCTAGGCCAGCTGTAACTTCTTGGGCGGCAGCTGTGCCAGCTGGAGCTCCAGGTGTCACTGTGGCTGAGGAAACACTATGTGTTATTTCAGGCGACGGTTCTTCCCTGTCGCTGTCCGAGGAGTCGGCTCTCTCCAATCGATTCATTGGTCTATCCTCGGAATCGGAGTCCGATGAGGGGTGCTTTCTACCACCACCAGATCCCGAACCGGAGACGGATCCACCATTGTCCTCCTCTTCGCTCGACCACACCCATTCTCCCGTCACCGTGCGATGCAGACGGCCCGAAGCTCCAGGCTGCCGTTTTGCCGCCTTGTGAACCCTGGTCTCCATACTGGGTCCTGATTGCAGCAACGTCTGGGTGAGATACTTGCGATCCTTGGCCTTTTTGAAGAAGGCATGCTTCAGTAGCTCACTAGCCGTGGGCCGTTTCGATGGCTCCTTCTGCAAACACTCGACGATCATCTTACGGAATGTCTTGCCGTAGGCCTTATACTGATCCTTATCATCCGCACCGGTGTCCAAAGTGGGCGGATCGTTTTGCAGTGTCAGCATTAGCACCTTCATGGGCGGGTATTTGT